TCCCGTGACGTCACATTGTCGCACTACAGGTCGGGAACGGCGAGTGTACAAGAGCCTTAACTGTACTAGCTGCTGCCACTAGTAGGGGGCAGCCTTAGCAAAATCATCAATATGTTGTTTGTTTCATTAAACCATTTAGTAGTGTGGGATGTGATAAACAATGCTGTCTTGATTTTTGCTGGTAACACAACATTAAAATGATATAATGGTGCTAAATAAGAAGTTAAAAGGCTGGAAGCTAAAGGCACAATTTGGGAACATACAGAAAACTTATGTGATATCTTCATAGAGTAAAATCACATTTTTATCCCCCCCAAAAAAAGGCAAAAATAACAATAGTAATAAATAGTAGGATAGTCAGTCTAAAATCCTTACTCTTCCAGCAGGACTGTTGGCTTAATGCACACCTGAATTCTTCCTATTTCTGACTTGAATGACTCCATATACCGAGGCTAGCTACTCTTACAGCAGTGATACCTGCCAAACTTACTTTGACAAGTCCAAATTTACAGTTTTAGAGCAACAGACAACGGTTTGGAAACTGGCATCCTGAAGTCTGAACCCCAGAGAGAGGTACTAACCCGTTTGTCACACCTCAAGGCATTTGGAAAGGTTCCAAAGTCTCTGAAAGAGTTTTCTGATGACATGTTTGTCTTATCAGTCCTAACCATACATGGAATTTAAAGTCTCTCTTCTTGGGAAACTGGGACAGGAGCCATCTCCCATAAAGCTACCAACACTTTATGTAAATAGCTATGGAAATACAGTCTTCTGAATTTGTGTAAAAAAACAAACATATCTTGTCTTGTTCCTTGCAAACACATTGTTTCACTGCTTATTCCTGTAATTGAGTGCTTACTGCTTTTTGTCTGTGAGAGCTAATATGATGCCTGTAGCGGCTTATTGTTGCTAAATCCCTCTATATCGCTTTATATCATCGTCATTTCTCCACATAGCTGGTGTGACTGAACACACGGCTGTTCTATCCCGTATAGGCTTCCCCCTTTAAGGCTATCGCTAGTGGGTTTATCTCTCGTTGGTGCAGCACTGAAGACGTCCATATATGACATGACATGAACAGACATATATGACATGGGCCCTACCTTGGTCTGACTTTGTGCGTAAATTGGACTAAGACCAACTTCGCCACAAAGAGCAACTGACTAGACTTCAAAGATGTGTTCTAGTGGTGTCTGAATTTGTCCAGCATGCTAGACTGGCTACATTATAGATTTCAACCTGCCCTCTGTGAGCTGTGCCTAGCCCTCACGCCTTAAGCCACATGTATACAGTGCCTTATTCAGGCCGAGAAGCGCCCCAGAAGACATAAATAGCGAGTTTCTCTTGGCCCAAGTTACCAGACGTTGCCTCGTTTTCCAGCCATCAAGAAGTACCAGTCTGCAGTGCCAGTGGAGCCCGGAAACTGAAGGTACCTGCTCCCTTTGAGCCAAACTTGACATCGTTTTTTGGGGTAAAACAAACTACCAAGACGGTTAGACGATGGCTGGCTCTACCCTCCACCAGAGACCAGATGACTGCCAGGGTCACCTTTCATCGGTGCACCTTCCAGGTGGCCAACATCTCCCTGTGGGCTTTCTTCATGACAAGACTGGCCGCTCAGCCAGATGTTATACGTCCTGAAGATTGATCCTGATTTAGCAAGGCTTCCAGCGCCATTCTGGCCCTGTGTGCCTCCATCACTATCTCTACTGCAAGGATCGCAGCGTGGCAGACAATGATCCACTGGGATTTCTGGTTGCACCTTTCTTCCATCCCAGACACAGTGAGAAGGGAGTTTTTGGACACCCCCATCTGCCCGGGCGAGCTGTTCAGGCATCATTTCCACTCAGTGCTGAGGAATGACAGTGGAAAACATTTACACTGCAGCTTCCTGGTCTTCCCCCTGTTCTCTCATTTGTTTCTATCTGCGGGATGTCTGTTGTTTTTCTATGACTCACTCTGTCTTGAGAATTTTGTCAGAGTGATTGTTATTTGGGGTGCTTTAACTGGGGTGCTCTCCCTCATGCTAAGTTTTCTGTTCATTTTCAGTTTCATTCCCTCATGGTGATATTGCACTGTTTCTATGCCATCTGCGCATATGATGTACTGTGATGTGCAATTACATAATGACACGGTGGTGAGGTATGGACTGGTTATTGACTCTCGTGAAGTAGGTGTGTGTTTGTGCTTGTGGGAGTTAAAGTCTTCAGTGGGGTGCGAGCGAGGGATAAACCCACTTGCAATAAGGCTGTGCCTATACTTGTAAATCTGGAAACTAACGCTCTGTGATTAACACAAATTGATTTTGGATGGACTATAGAATGGAGACGGTAGTTTTAATTATCCAACTAGCTTAAAAAATGTTAACATAGCATGAAATTGCTAACATGCTCTGCAGGAGTTGTGTAATTTTCCACACCAAATTTGAAAAACATTGACAGACAATTGTAAAAGTAATCCATCCAGTCACATTGTGGGTCTACTGTATAACTAAGCAAATTCCATATTGCCAATCTGAAATTTTTTTATATTTTAACATTTCTGTTGAGCACAACTTTCTTAAAAGAGCTTAGTTTGGGCTTAACATTACAATGGCATACCAAAAATTCTTAAATAAAAACCAGCATTTAAATCATGGAACATGCTCACCACTCTGCTGCTCTAAGTTTCTCTTTTTCATTCACTAATTATTTCCAATCAATTCAACTGTGCCGTTTTTCCTTGTGTGGTTGGTTTATTGTCACTGAAACTCAATACTTCCTGCAGATGTTTCAAGTTAAAAGCCTACCAGGAACGTGATAGATTATGCCCTTTGAGGCGCTGGGAGGCTTTTAATGTAAAAAATCAGTGTCGGTATTGTGAATGTATAGTTTGAAATCAAATTAAAATTAAAAAACAGCAATTAGTACTATGAAAAATTACAATGAGGTTATCAGAACAGGTAGAGTGGACATTTTGGCTTTGCAACAACAAACAGCATCAGCAGCAAATTAAAAATGGAGCATATCAAGAAACAGGGAGGTGTCTTACTTAAATAAGGTCAAATAGGCTTAACAAAATGGAGGAATTGGAAATAAAGGCCTGTCAGTAATATAGCTCTGCATAAATCTGCAGTTAAGGTAAATGAAGGCCACTATTTGAGAATTTACAGTAATCCACACAGATAGAAAAGCTATGCAAAATAAAGTCATATAATATTGGTAAACAAGAAAACAAATATGATAGGTACAAATAGACAGTGACAGGATTCTTACAACCCTCTGTGTCACAGTGATGGATTAGAACAAACCATGCTCCGCTTACAATAGGTGATAGAAATATGTTTTTCCACCAGCAGGGATTACATGTTGTGGTTGGAGTGATTTTAACTAAGAGTTTTTCTCATTTATTCATAAACTTTGTATTTTTAATTTTTTTTGTTCTTATCTTTGACCAAACAGCCTAACTGTTAGCTAACCTTTCACAAGACAGTCATGTGAAAATTTTCTGTTCTTACATTGTGACATATACCAATTCATTGTCAAGGAATGTACTGTACTTTTCACATAATTGGTAGATATACAGTCATTTCTCTGAGGCAGCGCTGCACTGAGGGCAGAAATAACCTCACTGGTTGATATAAAGCTTTGGTGAAACAGAGAGAAGCACATCTTTCAAGCACAGCATGAAAGCTGATTCTTGTTCCACTTCTGTTGATCATATGCAGTTTTTTATCACAGTCTGGAATAAATTAATAATTAGAAAATAATTACTTGGTCTACTTGAATTTTACTTTGTCTCAGATCTCAGATCAAGCTAGTATCTTTTTTGCAACATTAGCCCAGAGAGGAAAACCCAAGGTCTTCCTTAGCTTTATTAAAATGCATTAAGACATTCTCATTTATATTTTATACGTTTTGTTGAGTAAATCTGTCAATCTGGCGTGTTGCGTTTAAAATTTAATCAGGCTGCTGGTGAGGTTAGCTAGCATCCTGTCTTGTTAGCAAAGCCTTCAGTAATATTGCCTTAAACATAAAGAGTAACTCACGTATAAGAGGAGGTAGCTATTTCAAATGTTATTCCAAATCCTAGTTCTCCTGCTAAAATTAAAACAAAAATTAAACTAAACTATTTTGGTGGATTAGACCTCGCCGTTTAAACCTGCTATTCAAACGTTGCAAGTGTAAAGTAGCCATATTAGTCTCTCAGAGTCTCAAGTCGTGCTAGGTTGCTAGCCTGCTGACCGTCTTTGGTCATGAATTCCATAATCATGAATCAATGCCCTTCTCATTTCAGTTTAACTCAACTAATAGGGTTGTTGCTGCCTCCTGAGCAGCTGTTCTCCAGACACTCTTTGTCAAAAAGGAGTCAACAGTCACACACGTCTCTGTAAATCAGTGATACAGTAAATTGCTTCCTCTAAACACTCTTTAAGTCAACGGCAGCCCCTCCCACGCTGCTCTTTCCTCAGATGTTGGGTCCTTTGCTGTAATGTTCTCTGAGGTTGTATGTCTGATAACACATGGAAACATCACAAACCCCCGGAAGACCCGGATTGCCCCGTTTACCAGGATCTCCTGGTGGCCCCGGTTTTCCGGGAATTCCCTGGTTGCCTGGGTGGCCGATTCCATCGAAGCCACGAGGACCTTGAATTCCTGCGGTGATAAGGAAGTTACTACTGTTACTGGTATTTCTGCTTCATTTTTGGAAAGAAAGTTGGTTCAATTAAATTTTTACCATAGCTCTTGTGCTATTAGGTTAAAAATAGTGCATGCTGGATCATAAATTACATCTACTCTTACTGTACAGGAGGGGTTAATAAGATATTATAGCTTCCACAATGAAACACAGCACTCACTGTCTGCCCTCACCTACCAGGCTGTCCCTAAAAGTACTCCCTGAAAATGAAGTACAAAAAGGGTCCACCAACATATTAATTAAAGACATAAGAATACAAACAGCCTAGATGCATTTCTGTCAGAAGTGCACTCATGCACAACCCTGAAAGCTCAGATGTCAGACTGTGGTCAGGTTGCTGAAATAGCTATAGCTCCACAAAATGGCTTAATGGTTGAAGATGTTTCAAAAATCAGGCTGATAGATGGGCTTTTTACACACCTGGCTGTCCAGGTGGTCCTGGAGGTCCGCGGTAACCTTCTCCCTTGCTGCCTTTGAGCCCTCTCGGTCCCATGTCACCTGGGGGCATAATATGTCTGCTTTAAAAAATAGCATTAGAGCTCCAATAAATGAGCTGTCAGATTGAGAGCTGCAGAAGCCTAAAGGCTGTGTTCCCTCCAAGCAAGCTGTGTTAAGTCCTGTGCAGTGGTAGAATCAGCAGCCTTCCATTAAAAGGTAAAAGTTTATTTTCCTAATTCTCATCATTCTTTTTTTCTTTTACAACCCTATTTAACAATTTTTAACCAAGCTATCTAAAGTTCTTAGAGTTTTGGGTAACATTTATATCCATTATGGAGGCAGCTTCAGTGATCCTGTGGAGAGAATGGGACATTGTAACACTGTCAGACACCATTTATAGGAAAGTTCTGTTTTTTGACAGCCATGACACATGGCACAAAATTCTCTGCAGGACACGTAGTAACAGAACTGAGAGCTCTACATGGGCACAGTGGTGCTTTGTGCTAAATGCTAATGTCAGTATGCTAACAAGCTTGCAACAACAAAACTAATATGTTAATGTTTGGTAGGTATAATGTCTACCATGTTCACCATCTCAGTTTAGCGCAGGGATCTCAAACTGCCAGTCCAGGGGCCATTTCTGGCCCTCCATTCCCCTCCTTCTGTCCCGAATGTATAAAACTGCTGTTTGTGTTTTTTTTTGTTTAGTATGGTGTTAATAATGAAATATTTTTAGAATATTGTTCTTTCTTGTGGTACTGTTAACTATGAGATGACAATACCAGCAGTGGCCCCAAGCCAATTTGAGTTTGAGACCCCTGGTTAAGCTTATTAGCTTGCTAACTTTTTTATTAGCACTAAACCCAAAGTACAGCTACGGATGATGGGGATATCATTAGTTTTGCAGGTATTTGGTCATAAATCAAAACATTGGACAAATTGAGAATTTGACATGATTGTGGTCATGAGGATCAGCCAAGTGATTTACACATCATCCTGTGGGAATGTCTGTACCAAATGTCATGGCAATCAATCCAATACTGGTTGAGACATTTCACTGAAAACCAGAAATGTCAACCTCCTGGTGGCGCTAGATGAAAAGTCAGAGAATCACTAAAGCCATGGATATTTTACTGAAAACTTTAACCATGATCACAAGTCTTATTGCTACCATTTCTATCTGTGGCATTCCATTCCGAGCACACCCTCCATTTAGCCTTCCTATCTGACCTTGACTCAAGTCTGCCCAAACTGTTCTGTCCACCTCATGCCATCTGATTTGAAACCAAACTAGTGCTCTTATAACTACCACTCTTGTTTCCATGTAAATCTTTCCTATTTCAAGCTTTATCTAAGTTGCCTTTTCTTGACTATAAACATTTATGTGTGGTTCATTAAAACTTCTGAACTTTGTTGAACTGAACTCCTACTTTGTTTTCTAAGAGCTTGTTGCTGCCAGGAATAAACTCTCAAAGGTCAAGAGAGTAGATGATGAAATTATCCATCATGCCAAAGACTTCTCTAAAACGTCTGACTCAACACAGTACTCTATTCTATTTCAAGACATCATGTGTTCCTTTTTCACATGTCCTTACCAAATCCATAATCGGAATTGTTAGTGCTTAAGCCAGAAGTCGGTTGTACTACCCAGCAGTTGTTAGTTTAAGCTGGAAATTGATATGTCATTGACCAGACGTTGCTATGTGAGCAGAATTGAGCTTCAGATGAACTTTCAATGTTCTTGATCACAACAGTACACTGTACAGCATATCCTACTAAAAGAAGAAAGTTAACTTAAACCTCCAAAAAATGCAAAATCACTCAATACCACGATAATTAAATCCAACCTAAAAAATTAACTGTTTAAGAAATAACTCAGTTGTTTGGGTGAACTTAAATTTGTGCAGTGCAAGTATTGGTGATATAATTCCAGTTTGTTCCATTTACTTATTTCCTTTAAGGTGATTTTATATCATTACAAAAATACCACTATGCTATAATCTTCAGGTTTTGCAATTTATGTCGTGACTATTTAAGTTTATGAGTCATCACATACCTACCTATGTATCAATTCTTAATCACATTAAAAACATGCACTAATAATGAGATTAGATGATCTACAGAAAAGTAATTGGCACAATAAATTAATATTAAATTGTTTTTATCATACATCAGTTGTTTTGACAAGTAATAATAATTTGCTTTAGTGGAAGACAACTGAGTAAATTCAACTTGGTGGTGCATCATGCAAGTCTTACTACTTCTGGTAAATTCTGTTAACACATTTCAAATAAGTTTGGGGAAATGCTGCATGAGTGTTATGTACTAGCTAGTTTTAAATTCAATTAAATGAATGGAATTAGTACAATTAAGCTAATTTATGGGACAGGACAGATATATATATATTTTAGTGTTATGATACTGTTACTTTCAAAAATTACATTATCTGTACCAGATACTTGTTTGTGTAATGTATAGGTTGGCTTTCAGTGACCAACAATGATGTCATACCAACCTTGGCTCTAATTCATCATCACCGTGAACACGGCATACAGTAAGAATTGGAATCTGTGTACTGATTGGCTCATAAAAAAACAGACTCCAGTTAAAAGCTTAAAAGGGCATTCCAGTGATCTGGTTTTGTACTTCTATAAAGTTTAGCTACTTGCAAGAAACAGATTAAATGGATAGAATCCATGCAGCAGAGGACCTAGTGCCCCTTTAGAAGCTATGGATACTACACTTCCACTCCTCCTTGATAGTGTCTTCCATTAGACCTTCCCTACCTGGTAAATTTTAACATCTTTCAAACTTCATGTCCCCAGTTTGAGACACAGGTTTTTTGATAAAACTCTAGTCCAGCTCCTCCAAATTTACAAGTGGAAATCATCCACAGCAGTGGAGTGGTACAGTTTGGTTTCTTTCACAGCTGATTAGCCACTCCCTGTCTTCAAGTGGTGATAAATCATAGACAGCTCATTGAGATGGGTTTGGATTCAGTATTTGTTGTCTTTTGCTCTGCTGACTTTCACTGATGTTCGCTTGTTTAATGATCTTGTTTTATGGGGTACAGTGAACATAAACACATCCAATTTGTTCGTCGTTGACACTGTTTTGATTTTAATCGTTGATGAAAGCAGTAATAAATTTTGTCCTAGCTCTTGTTCATGAAGTTTTGTTGTTATTTATTGTCTTGTTTTCGTCAGGGTAAAGAGACTGAGAGATTTTTGTCACAGTTTTAGACAGTGGATCAAGCACCACTGGCTCAAAAGGGAGCATTGAATACAGATATAATAAACCTGTCCTAGCGTGGTGATTAATCCCCTTAAAAAATCCTACATTATGGGTAATATCACCTTTGAGGCCTACAGGACCCTGCATTCCAGGGGGTCCTGGGTAACCGGGAGAGCCACTCCTTCCAGGGTAGCCAGGAGTCCCCATGGAGCCTTTGGGTCCTGGTGCTCCTGGCTCGCCTGGGGGTCCCTTCACACTCTGGCAGTGTTCACACCTAGCTGGGGGAGCCAGGCTCTGGAGCAGTGCTGGAAGTTGATCTGCATGGCACAGCAAAAAGGTGATTATTAATCCATTAGTATATTATTTATTATGTTAAAACTCCAGTTTGATCCCATATTACTGTAAGCCTAACCACATAGAAAAAACATATACTCAGTGTGCATATATATTTATTCATTCTAGAAATGTGTCATTAGACATTTTCAGTTCTAGGATTTCTGTGAAATATTCAGGAGTTCTCCTATTAGGTTCCATGAATATAACCAGGCCAGGAGCCTGTGTGCTGCAGACATATTGGGTGCTTTTCCATTCAGCTACTCACACACTCTCCTCTCCTTGCTCTTCCAGCCCATGACCCCAAAATTGATCCAGGTTGACCATCATGGAGGATGTTTCAATTAGATCTACACCCATAAACTGGCCAATATATTGGCTGATATTTGTTGTGTCAACGCAAATTGGGCTAACTACCTGGAGGAAAATAAATAACTGCATTCTTGTGTTACTGTTTTTTTCACACTGAATGCTTATTTTACTTTACTAAGTTCATCTTTGCTCAGTTAAGGAAAGTGAGGGGGTCCAAATATTTGTCATCCACAGAAGCATAGTTATTGGCTCAGCAGGTAGAGCAGGTCATCCACTAATCAGAAGGTTGGTGGTTCCAAACCCCCGGAGCAAAATATTGAACCACAAAATTGCTCCCGCTGCTGAATGCAGTAGTGTAGTGGTTCCTGGAAAAGTGGGCATACTTTTAATTTATGCCCCCATTTTTTGTTTAAAGCGTCTGTCAAAGCAAAGAATAAATGCCCTGTGTTTTAAACAATATTATAGACTACTCTTGAATATTTAGTTCACCTAAAAAATGTGCCAGTAGTATTTGCACATTGTCACTGAACTTCTGCTGCTTAACTTCAGGCAGTGAGGATCATTATGAGATTAACATAAGACACAGGAGAATCAATACTGGCCCAAAGACGTGTGAGACAACTGCATGATTATGGATTTGAACAGAAGTATTCCTTATTCCTTACTCCGTCCACTCATGAAAATTGGACAATTATGTCATGCCCTCCCTATCCTAGGAAAAAAAACCTCACAGAATACTACTGAATGATGAGCATGCGAGGGGATTTAGAAGTGGATATACCCAGTGCTGACTGGAAAATAAGTGGGTATACTCCATTTACCTGTGTATACCCTGCACTACACCACTGGCTAAATGTGTACATAAGCTACTTGCTAACAGGTTAGCTTTGTAAGGTGATGTAAGTGTTGTTTAGGCCTGTTAGCCAAATGGAAAGTACCCATAGTTTTGCTTAATTTGCTTTAGTATAAACACTTTTACAGTCACATTCTTAAATAAATGAAACTATCCATTATATGTTTAGATTTAACATTCTAACACTCTTTTAATGAAAGTGTTAATGTGCACCTCTACGTCTGAGAGAAGCTGTTAGCAGCATTTGGTGTGTATGGGGAGGAAGTTTCAGACTTTAGCTTTCTTACTCTGGTTCTCAGCAAAGTGACATAAAACAAACATATACTTACTACGCAGAACATCAGTGCAGAGCTTTAGAAGATGTTCATCTGAGGGAGGCTTGCCCTGCAACACACAATTACACGTAGATTCAGCTGAATCAACTGTGGGACTGGGAAAACCTGTGATTGAGTATGCCTACAGATTTACAGGATCTTCACAACGCTCCATCTCTGTCTTCACATAGCCCACACACACTGACAGCTGTGCCCCATTATTCCCACACATAACTCCCCCCCATCCCAGGCAGGAAATCACTAGCTGCTTCTCACAGCCAATTTGTTCTATTTTTTATTTAATCCACTGAGAGGAGATGGTCAGGATGAGGTTCACTCACAGGTTTCCCTGGATAACCGGGTTGGCCTGGTTGCCCTGGCAACCCGTCCTGGCCAGGAAATCCCCTGGGTCCAACAGAACCCATGTGGCCCATGTCCCCTTTCTTTCCTTCAGTCCCCCTGAGGCCAACGTCACCTGTCACTCCTTTCTGAAGAAGCAGGAGGGAGGACAGAAAATCTCAGGTTACAAAAGGACAGAAGGTGAAACTGAGGCTCATTTTTCAGAAAAAGAGTACAAGAAATTGTGTGAAACTGTGTGTTTATGTTCTTTCATATAAGTTAGCATCATCAGCATGTCCAGTTTTCTAACTTACTGTAAAGTTGTGTTTTTGTCTGTGGAGCTAGGTTGTATTAGTTTGTGGGTTTACATTAACAGAAGCCTAGCATTTCCACTATATAGTATTTCCCCACTGTATTGAAGCCACTCTTGCATGCTAACAGTGTTTAGGCCAACATTAGCGGCTCTGTCCTGCTCTAGAACAAAACAACAGTCTGATCATATTATGATCAGGTGTGTAGCAGGAGGGGTAAACTCAGGTAAACTTGTTCTATCCACCTAAAATGAGAGCAGTCAGCAGTCTCCAGCTACAGGGGCATTTCCAGAGGGGGGGCCTGGGGTGGCACTGGCCAAATTTCCCCCTTGCAGACATGCCAACTTTATGCCAAAAAAGCACAAAAGCCATGACGTTTTTGCATGTGGTATAAAAGTGTTATTTTTGTCTAGTATATTTGAATATTTCTGCATACTGGGATCCATTAGCAGTGTTGAAATCTCATAAATTGGGAATCCCTGGAAAGCTGAGACACATATTTCATGCCAGCCCTGCATAAGTCACTTGTGCCACCCCAGTTAAAAAAGTCTGGAAACACCCCATACAATCAAGACATGAGAGGCTGCTTCTGTCTACCTCTGTCACAAACAAGCATGCATTGTTACAAAGATTAGCCAACAAATCAAGCAATAAATCTTGTTAAACCTGTCAGGTGTAGCAACAGTAACTAAATCAAGTGGGATTAGCAAATAGTCAATTAGCTACACCAATTAAATCCATACACAGCAGTCCAAAGTTTTTTACTGTTTTTGTTAGTGATCATGAAGCATGCTACAACAGCGTGTGCTTGATAAATGATAAATGATATCACACAAAGGGTACAGCATTCACACTACTGAGGGAGGCTATATCTCCATAAATTGTGATTCTGTAGACAGTACAGTAAGTGTTTGATATTTCAGATGTGTGCGCCTTTAGAAAAGAGGTCTTTTGTGATGTATATTTTTGCCCAGGGGGGCAGATTTCCCCAGGCCCGGAGGTATTGGCTCTGTAAGTCTTCTATAGCAGCCGTGCAGCCTTGACAAGGCTTCTCACTGTGGTGCAGAATAAGACAGAATGGATTATATCTAATACGGCAAAGTCTAATTCGACAAACCTCTCCTTTCCTTCCCCTGGGTCCCACTTCACCCTGGCGGAAGAAAGAAAAGAGAGCGGGAAGAGTAGGGAGGAAAAGAGGAGAGGGAGAAATAGAGAAAGACAGTTAGAAACTTCTGCTTACATATCAAAGGCTGAGTTAGTATGTCAGAAGAGCTGTGCTCGCTGCTCTGCATTGCTGATGCAGAACCGCTGTCTTTTCTGTCAAAGCCGGTGGCTTACAAAACATTTTAGATTGGTTATTGTAATGTATTCTCAAAAGGATTTTTTTGTTTTGCTACTTGTTGTAATGTGATAAAATATGCATCTGTGGTTTTGTCCTTAAAAAACACCATCCACCGGTAACACTCATTTTGCAAGGCTTTCTTTGTAAAATAACATTCAAGGACATATTATATCTGAGGTTGTGTTCCATTTCCTTTACAGTGCTTCCTCTTCCCCTTCTTTTACATCCATTTGTTCTCCTTTCCTAATAAGTGATTTCATCTGTCCTAGAGACATTTCCTCCTCTGCTACAAGGAAACGTTGTCCGAGGAAACACAGAAACCTTGGTCTTTTGTGCCTGTCATACTGTTTTACATTCAAGCCGAGTTCACTCTTTCAACTCTTCTGTGGTTCGCAGTTATGCCCTTCCTACACTGGATGCATTTCAGCTAGGTTTTTCAGTTGTCAAACTCACAGATCAGAGGACACTACAATTTTACACATTTTACACAAAATACACTCGTCAGCACTGACCACATAACAGTCATCGCTCCACTCATGCTTACTCCCCCCATTAAGCTGCATTCCCATGGTTTCAGGCAGACAGCAGACAGACAACACCTTGTAGACGGCGTGGGAAAAACAAACAATCCGTCAGAATGGCATGACGGCAAAATTAAACATGCATGACATTATGTTACTATGGTGATGTCGTAAAAAGTGGAATAAAATATATAAAAATAATTTTACATAACATCTGGTTAAATTCCTTAAGTTTTTTTTTCATTCAACAATTTTTATTGATTTTGATTTTCCATTAGTTTCATACATTCATTTGCAGCATATGTTGAAAGTAAGAATATTTACAAAAAAGAAAGGAGTGCGCGCCTCACTCTGATATTGGTATCTCATTTAATGGTATTTGCAAGTCCTCATAATACTCTAGGAAAGGGGTCCAAATTCAATTCAATTAAATTTTATTTGTATACCGCCAATT